TGTATTTTAGAAAAGGTATCAAATCTTCAGAGAGTGAAGCCATTTTATTAAAAAGTTCTTAAGCCTATGTAATTTTTATTTTCCTATTTCTTAATGCCAATGCCTCTACAGCTCCTGTGTGTTCTCTTTTTCATATCTCACAGAAGCTAAATTCTTTCCTTTCTGTCATCTATAGGAATTCTTTTTAAAGAGAGAACTAGAATTGTAGGTTTTATCTTTGTTTTATGACTCTTCTCCATAGCAACATCTAAATTTCCTCTGATGAGCGTACTTTGCATACAGAGCACAATCTAGCCTTGACTAAAATGCTGTATTTACTGAAAAATATGTGGTAGCACAGTAAAACAATCATGTGAAGAATGAAGGATTTGGTGTTTAATGCCTTGAAAAATCAAGTACATTTCCTTAAAGATGTTGGCCTAGCAAGCTGCAGGTTAATGTCACTCTTTTAATATTTATACAGAAATCTTAATGTCTGGAGTATCTCAGTAGGAGGCTAAATTTTATTTCTTCCTCCATGTGTGCGTATCATTTTGTATGATGCCTGGAGTACTTAGATGGGAGTATAAGTCCATAGATTGCAAAAGAAAAATTATCAAAATCATAATATTTAATTGCTGTATCTAATAGCAACTGAAAAAGTACATTTTAAAGCAGAAGGTTTATATTTTCTGCTCAAAACTTAGAATTGGAATATTCTTTCTCTTCTTTCCCAAGTTTTTGCTATTTATGGGAAGAGCTGAGGAAACCTGCTAGCAATGTATGAAATGCTTTGCATTTTCTCCATGTCTGCCACAGCACTTTATATTGTTCCTGAAAATGTATTTTTGAAAATTCAAAGTTCTAAGCCATACATCCCATGTCAAATAAAGAGCCAGTATGTGACATGGATGGGATGAACCATACATTTAGCAGTTCATTAAGGTTAAATTTAGTGCAGCTCAGAAGGTATTTATAGAAATGTCTGTATTATCAAAACCATATCCAGATATGCTGATTATTTACTGACATGTTTGCAGTTCCTTTCTATTGATTTGTATTGTATCTGATTTTGGAGCAATCAGCTCAGTGGGGCTGTTTTTCTGTGACTGGTGACTTTTAAAAACTTGGCAGGACTGTGGAGATAAGGTCACTGAATGTAAAATAAGAGTTTTTATTTATTTTTCAAAGTTTCATCATAAGTAAATTGCAATAACTCCATGAAATCATTAGAAAAATGGAAATGGAACATTAATAATGATATATGTTATTTTGTTTCATTAGTAATCTAAGCTGTGGGTTTTGATATAGTAAGAAATTACTGAGTATAATTTACTCTTGCAGAAGATTTTTTCTGCTATTCTTCAAACAAACATAAGGTTGAATTCTGATCCAACAATAAGAACAGTAAGTCTATAATTCTACTGTGCTTTCTTTTAAAATTTCTAGACTTAGTTTCTTGGAAATCTAGGACATGCAGCTACATAATGTTTTGAATAAATTGTTGAAACAGGTTTAAAATATTTTAACCTTTTTCTTTTCTATTATCATGAAATCATTTACAAAATCAATCTTTATGACCTTCTTTTGATAAGGGTGAAAAGACATACCCTTTTATGAGATACTTATGAGAACTACTGTCCTATAACTTACTTCTCCTGCTCTAAAGGCAGATCTCTGGGGTTTTGTTTGGTTCAATCATATTGGTCTCACAAGTATCTGATCCAAAAAATAGTGCAAAGTCTGTGATGGTGGATCCTTTTGCCTGTCTTGTGTTTTTTTTACCATGTTATTAGTGTCTAATTTTTCTTTTTCTGGTAATACCAAACACATTTCCATGAAGGGCTCCAAACAATACTAGATTATTTGCAAATGTGGAAAGCATGACAGTGTGTGGAACAGGAGTATTGAAAAACCTCCTGCAGTTATTTATTCTGTTCTACATTGTGTGACGGGACCCCAAGTTGACCTGAATTTAGACATGGAATTCTCAACATGTCTTACTGGCATAAAGCAAATTGTGAACCTCAGGGGGCCTCCAGTTTCTGAGAGTAATTTTTGTACAATACAAACTAGAATAATAAAATGTATTTAGTAAAGAATGGTTTTTTTTTTTTTCTAGTTAAAAAGAGTTTGAAAACAAATCCCACTACTTTTTTTTACCTGTGTTCTTGCAATGCTCCATGCTTTAGTCTTGTTCTTTAAGAATTTTTTTTAGGTTGCAGCAAAATCTGCATAGTTCCATCAAGATCCTTCAGTCTGCTTTTTTAAATCAGAAAATTCTCTTAGGTTTCCCCTGGAGCTTACATGTTTGCAGGCTCCTGTCTCTGCTGAACCTGGCAGTACAGCAAAGTCTCTTCCTAAGCAGCTCTGTGGGGCAAGGTCCAAGTTCCTTCAGCCAGCTCCTCCTGACCCACAGCTGGATGAACCAGGAGCCAGTGAATGGTTCCCTGCACTCCAGCCACAATAATTTTAGCAAAACCTTCTTTACCAAGATAGCAAACTAGGAGCAAGTAAAAAAGATGTAGTTAATGTGTATTGTTTAGGGACAAGAACCTGAGATAGGGAGAGACACTAGTGGAAAAGAAGTAGGAAGAGGAGGTATTTTGGTGTGGCTTCAGAAGGGCAGAGTTTAACAGGGGTGCAGGTAGAATAGAAATACCTGCAGTGCTGGAGGGCCAGGGAAAGATCACACAGTTTGCTGCAAAGCTGCCTCTTGGCAGGGAGGCACAATCAGAGGCACCTGCTGGCTTTTATACACAGACAGGCAGTTCTTACACTGTTCAATAAAGGGTCAGACCAGAGGACTATTACTATTTTTGTTAGGAAAATTATTTGTTTCCTATGTCCTCCCAGAAGGGTAATGTCAGACAAAACTCCACAGTTTATTTCTAAGGAATTTGTAGCAAATATGAAACTGAATTCTGACATATAGGACCTTCTAACCAAGTCTCAAATCAGCAATAGGATGAATATTTATCTGATGGGAGCAAAGACTTTTTTTTATTTTTGTTTGGTTTTTATTGAGGAAAGACCTTGAACCTGGATTTTTAAACTTAGGTGAAATGTGTCAAGAATTCCAGACCTGGAAAAAGCATGATGCTCTTGTCTGCTGACTTTATTATTCTAAATCAGTGTTGTGACTACTCATATTTCAGAGAATGGAAATGCTCTTGTAAAAGCTTATAAATGGACCGACTAACTGAATTCGGCAGCAGATAATAAAGAACTCTAGTTTGTAAGTACTTATTGATGTGCTCATGAAAATAATCCAAGTAAAAGCAATAGGGGTAATTTTGTATTCAAAAGAGTGAAGCATCTAGTTTGTGTGGTAATTCTTAACAGGAAATCCTCGCTTCAATCCATCTGACTGTATCTCCCTCACTTGGCAAAACTTGACCAAACTACATGTGCCTGACTGTATTTGGCAAATTAAAAGAATATCTTATTGTATATTTCTCCTCTTGGAATGTAAAAAAAAAAAAGAGTTTCCAGTTGGCAAAGTAATTAACCAAGTCAAAGACTAACAAGTAGTTAAACTTTCAGAAAGGCTTTAAACTGCTCTAACCTGTTATGCAGGATTTAGGTCATGTATTTACAATTTACAGATATCTGCAATTTCTGCAGCAACCCTTTTATCATGTTCAATATAGTAATTTTTTTTTAAAAAAAGGCTTTTTTTGAAACACATACAGGTCATACTTTAATGTGATCATGGTTTGTGTTTTGATATTGGATCACTGCAGTTTTAGGATGAAAGAATTTTACTTGTAGCTGTTCTTCCTGCCATGAATTTTGTTACATTTTATGTTGTGAAAATGGAGAAATTGTAGCTGCTTGCTCCAGTATTTGTGAATCAGACATCATGTGACAGTTCTCTTTCAGGACATATACCATGTGGATATTAGCTTTTAACTGTGTTCAAGTTTGGGTTTTTTTTTCTTTATGTTTTCATTCAGAAGAAGAGCAAAAGGTCAGTCAGAAGCTTACTAGAGATCTTGAAGGTCTTTTTGCATTTAGCATCAATTCATCTGCATGTTTCCATGCTCAGATGATGCCTTTAAAGACAAAATTTGAGTTGGACAAACAAATTTTCTGAAGAGGTGGACTTAGCAAAAGGCTAAAGTGCTATGTGAGTGAATTTCTCCACAAGTGTGGTGTAAGAGGAGAATTCAGAAAAAGGGAAAACTTTATTGTGCTTATAACAGCTTGGTTTTCTGACTTCCTCTGCTACAATGGGTTTTCTTTTTTCTGAAGTGAAAGCAGAACCTATCTTTCAACTCTTGATAAATAAGGTCTTTTATACGTGATGGAGTCTGCTGCCTGCTCTCAGTGCCTTTATACGTGAGTTGTTGCTTACAGTAAATACTGTGCACACAACCAGGTATGGCTACTCTTGTCTGATAACATCTGTGTGTACAAATATGCATATATGCATAAACACTTGCATTTGACTTGCATATATGCACATATAATTATACTTGTGTTTACAGCACAGAAATGTATTGTTCTATGCATATATTATTGTATATTATGCATGTATTGTAATCTGTTTGCATAAGCAGTTACTAACTTTCTATTCTCATTTTGTTTTTCTTTCCTCTGTCATGGAGGATACAACCTTCTACTTTAATATGATAATCTCCTCTTAATGTCAGTTTCATTTAAAAATAAAACTGTCTTTATGTTGAATTATATTTGTGTACAGGAAGATGGAACTACTTCACAGTTCAGGTGTGATGCCATATCTGATGAGAAAGCAATCCCTTCCTTGATGTGGTAGTATTTAACAAATATCATGGTGCTTTTGTGATACCTTGTAGAGAAGCTGCCATATCATAAAGTCAGTTAATAAGCCCTCAATAAGTTGAGTCAATTGGCAATGTAAACCTAGTTCCTCTAGTTTCTTTCCTTTAGACTTTATTTTCTATTATGCTTATGCTCTTATTCATACAGCAGCTAAAGTGGCTGTTCAGATTAATTTAATGTATAATTGCTTGTTCTGTTTTGTTGTTTTCCAGCTCCCTCAGGCACAAAAGGTAAAATATTTTAATCAAATCCTAGTCATTCCAAGTAGTCACCAGTGCTTCACGTTTCCATGGTGGTGTGGGTGTGGTACAGGTGGTGATCAGTGAAACTCTTCACTGTCACGGGGCTCTGAGCTGGCCCCAGGAGGGAGCCTGGATTTGAGCCCAGCTGAGGCGCCTGCAGAGAACAGCTCTTCAGACATATCAGCTATTTAATATGCCAGGTATCCAGTAGCCTACAACTCGCAAACAACAGGGAGGCTATTTTATCAACAATTTGAAATAATAGTAGGGATTAAAAAAAAAACAAAACAACCCACTCTATTACTCCATGTGAACCATTTCTGGGTCTGTTGTAGAGTGCAGAACCCATGGTGCCCTTTCACTGCTCCCCACTGTATCTACCAACACACCCCTGAACACATTCAGCATTTGACTCCTCTAACAGGTTGCATACTTTCCATACAATGTGCTCTTGCTTTAAACCACTTCTGCATCGATATGGTGTCACCAGAGCCAGGACAGCACAGCCAGTGTGACAAAGTTAAGAATTCATTGATGCCTGTTGCATCATCCTTATGCATTTCACAAATATAATCAAGGCTCCCAGAAACTAGAAAATCTAGCTGATGTTTTGCGTTTTGGGTAAAAAGTATTAAAATGATAAAAAGGAGTAGAATATGCTGGGAAATTTCAACATTCTCTTGTCCAAGTCATTCTTATTGTTCTTGGTAAAGCACCTTCAATAAGAAATGTCATAGCAATTAGTCAGTTTGACATCACTGTTATTAACATTCATGGATGAGGATAAAAGTTCAGTTTTTAATGAAAACTAAAAGTGAAGTAATCTTTCACTTAATAGCTTTTGAAGAATGGTGAGGGCATACACTGAACTTAGAAGCTCACTAATGTATCTCAGCCACCTTTTAGTTTAAAAGGCCAGAAATATGCTTTATTTTTATGATACCACATGCACTTGAAATTTTCTGAGCTCATGGAGCTCAGAAAATTTTATTTCAAACCTGCAGGTAATATGCTATTTTATGACACTGCACTATGTCCATAGTTTCTTGGTCCTCTGATAGCTGCAGAACATGGTACCAAAATATGGTGGTTTTTTTTTTCTTCTTGAAATAAAAGGTTTCAAGAAATATTTTGTGTACAGCTTTCTGGAAAAGTAGAAGGACTAAAAGAGCAGCTAGACTAGCTAACTTTGGCTTTTCCATTTTCACCTGCTTGTCTAAACATTTGTGCCAAATGCTTCTCACAACAGTTTGCAGAAAGAAGAGAGAGTCAGACTGTGATGTGCTGGTGCAGAAAGTACAACCAGTCAGGCTGTTTATCAGCTTGTGCCATGTGGTGCTGTATTGCCTGTTCTGATGGCCACAATTCTGAGCTATTAAATAATATTCTGGTGCAAATTACACAAGCTTGCTGTTAGCAAATGCAATTTTCATAAATTGTCAAAATTGCAAAGTTTTAATGTTTTTACCCCTGATCAAACAATTGCAGAATTACAGCTGCATTTTTAAATGCACTCATAGCTGAATGCAGTCTAGTTGACTGCGTATTTTGTGCAGAGGGAGTGGGAAGGAAGGGATGGGGAGGGGGGAAGGTGCAATCCTTCAGGGCTTTTGATAACTTCAGGCAAGAAATATGCCTTTTAATAAGTGTGGCCTGGAAGCTTATGAACAAACCAAGAGAATCTCTCTTGCTCTCTGCAAGGTGAAGGGAAGCAGCACAGGGCTGGTGCATGCCTTTATGAATGACTTAGTCACTGTTTTGCCATATGGTGTCTGAACTTGTACTGTATTTTTGTTGGAATCTATGTATCATCTTGCAAATGTTTTCTCTATAAACATTTCAAACAGTCATGTCTCTCTAAACATGTTCACTTTAATCTTTGAGTGATCTGAAAGAAAAATGTGGCATTTCAAGTTTACCTTTGCTATTTCATATCTATTATAAATAGTTCTCCATCTTGATGAAATGTGTTTTCTCTTAAATATGGGACACTTTGGCTTCAGACTTTTCTTTGTTTAGTCAGTGTTCTATGGTGATTAGTACTGATTTTGAAGACCTGTTTTCAACTATCTACAGCAGTTAAATAACAATTAAACCTGTTACTCTTATGCTATCTGCTCTTAGTCAAACTGGTGCAAATTCAGAAGTGGAGAGCAGGTGAAATGAATAATGATGAGTTAAAGGTGGATATGTCTGTTGCACCGTGATATTTGTCTTGAAAAGATCTTTATGATATACCCTATACTTAAAACAGAAAATACCACAAAACCAAATCAAATCAACCACCCACCCAACCAGCCAAAAAAGAACACCAACCAAAAACTCACCAGAGTTTCAGGCAATAGAAACCTTGGTTTAGTATGGTTGTGCTACTTTCAGAACAAAATATGTGTAGGAAGAGTTAATGTATCTAAAAGGAAGAACTGAACCAGATAAATGAAACAAATTCATATGAATTTTACTTGTCCTCTATGTTTCTTTTATGCATGTTTTTAGGTAGCTATCCCACAGGGCTATGAAAACAGCAGTAAGACAAAATAATAACTCAAATTTACCACTTTTCAAATTTGTTCATTTTGATTTTCAAAATGACCTTTATCTTTAAACAGTTATGTTAAACAGCTTCTTGTATGCACTGAAGAGCAAAAGCCATTTTTCCTTAATAGTTCAAAAAAGGTGTTTTGTTTCCTAGTAGGAAAGCTTTACTTGCTTTCAGAGCAAACACAGCAGGATGTGCCCTACTCCTGCTGTGATGTTTTGTTCTACTTAGCTTGAGTGAAAAGGTAGAAGTGAATAAATTAGGCACACAAATCGGAGAGTTGTGTTTAGGAGCATTTAAGATTTTTTTAATGATTCTCTCATGAATGGAGCCATATTTCCTCCATACAGAAATGTTTTAATGATATTTATTGCCCAAAAGTTCCTGACAGCTTTCTTCTCTCTTTCTGTGTTATCCTTAAGTTCTGTGCCCTCCTCATATCTTGATGCTATCATCTTTCAGCCTTCTGGGAGGATCATTTATCATCCCCATCATTTACCTTACACTTTGAAGAGTTGAATTAACTGTCACTGGGAATAGAAAATAGAAAATTTGGAAAGCTTTAGTTTTATTGAAATGCATGGCTAGTGATTTTAGCACTTTTGGAAAATTATAACATTTAAGTGGAATGTAATGTAGTACAAAAATAATCATAAAGTAAACAGTTTGATTTAGCATTCCTTTGGATATGTTTCCTCCTCAGGAGATGCTATTGTCTTTGTTTTGTAATGTATATTTGATTTCTATTCAGAAAACCATGTTAAAATTTTCACTTACATGTTAATTGCAATCTTTAGTTTTCAAATTTCTCTCTCACATTCCTTAACAAGCAAACTTACTTTTAACAACATTTTTGAATCAGCAATTTACAAACTCCAAGTGACTATTTTACAATAAAAGGAGTATTTTTTCATTTATTCTGTGTGTCAAACACAGAAGCATATCTTTAACTAAGACACTCAGGTTCCTGTGTTGTCCCAGACCATAACTTGAGTCTATGCCAAAATAATAGCTGTTCCTTATTCCTTTAGTCCATATAAAACACGAATTCCAATTGTCTGAGGCTTCCAGCCTGGCTCATGACTCTGACCAGCACATTAAAGTTCAGTGGTCACAGAAGACAGCACATTGTGAAGCAAATCCATACAGAGCAGGCAAGGGAAGAAGGGCAGGGTGGATTGGGCAGGTATGTCAAAAATTCTGAACGGCCCACTTGTTGCCTATACACTCCAAAGGAAGATATTTGAGAGATGTTTCTCAAATTCCTCTTTCTGTAATGAGAACACCTCAGAAAATTGTATGTGTGTCTGCTTTAATTCTGGACCTTGCCTTGTTCCTTGCCCTGAGAGATGGATGCTAGTGCTGGGTGTGAGGCTAAACTCTTAAGTGGCTTAACTCTAAGAGGATGATTTTTATTTGTTTTTTGGGAAGATCTGCCTGGGGTCATTCTGAGGGGAGGTAACTTCTGTACAGCAAGAAATTAAAGGGAAAACTGTTGTAGTTAAATCTGTTTCTAAAGGGAATTTTTCCTCCAGTTATAAAACTATTATCACTAGGTGTTAGAGATCTGTACCTTCTTCAGAGAGCAAGATCTGTTTCTTTATTCTAAACAGTCAAGAGACAATTATCATGGGAATGCATTTTTCCTCAGTTTTGAGATTTTCAAAGGTTTGCTATTTTTTGCTAAGCATTCTATGAAACTGAGTGTCCATAGCCTTTGGGTAGTTGCCCACCTAAAACTGTTACCACCATGTCTTTCCAGTAGAAGAACATTCTGGGGCAAATCATTGCTGCTGTCTCCTACAGTCATCATTTTAGACTAGGTAGTAACTACATTATGATGAGCAGTGACTCAGTAAAATGTTGTCAATACGAGTCCCTGCCCATCCAATTATTTGCTGACTCTGCTTATGGAAGGGGTCAACAACTTTTTCATTTGCCAAACAAAAAAAAAAAAAAAAAGAAATCAGGCTGGATTATACAGTTGCAGTTCTATAGAAATTATTGCAGCAGCAAGCTCTAGTTTGTACTTGTAGATAACAAAATTACAAGGCAATCACTCTTGCCTGTTTCTATAGTCAGTTTTGAGAGTTAATGAGCAGTTCTTTTATAAATTCCCAGGAACTCCAGACTGTGGTTGGTTTTTATCTCCATATAAAGAATTTCAAATACCCTAAAACTCTGCTGACAGTCCCTTGGCTTTATTCTATCCATTGAATTGTTTTTAGTAATATCTCGAAAGTGAGAAGACTTGTAAATTAATACTGTCATGTTTTTGACAAAAAACATGATGTCAGAGAAAACTACCCAGGGCAATCATATAAAATCTTGATGTGCTCCAAAATGTCACCTTGTAATCAGCAGAATGCTTGTCCACTTCCTAGGCTCCTCTCCCCACAACTCTACTACTCTGGCCAAGGAGTGGAAATTCCTACATTGGTTTGGCAGCATTTGAGTTTGAAGTGCAACCTTTGAACCCACAAAGTTTTGCCAAGTTTTTGTTTTTTTTTCTTGTTTGTTTAATAACTTACTATTCCTTGATAGGTCAAGGATTATATTAGGGTTAGAATTATCTCTTCTTGCTAGCAAGGAGAACAAAACAAAACAAAATTATCGTAAGTTTGTTCCACCTCATATCCCTGGTGACTCCTTATCAGATGTAAAACTTCTTGACTTCAAACCCCATTTATGTTCCTGTCTAATGTCTGCAAGCATTCCTTCTCACCATGATACTGCCATGCCTCAGGCATGGCAGGAATATACTCAGGAAATATACTTGTTGAAGAAACTTAAAATCTCCCTGAAGAAGATTGGGAGATGCAGGACAAGTAATTTTCTAGATTTTTTTTGTCTGATTTGCTAATGTGGAATATGCTGCATAAAGTATCTTTGTCATAACCTAGGAATTGTTTTCTGAGAATGTGGGGAGCCAATTGCTATTGCTTCATCATAAGGAAACCTTTGTAAACACAAATAAAGCAACAAATAAATTGTAAAATTTGTGAAAAGAAAAAGATGAGAAGTTCTACTTGAGTGCAGAAAACATGGCAGAGATGTAAGAGGGATAGCAGAATGTCACAGTCATAATTGGGCATGACTGTCACCTACAGTATTGCTCAGCAAGATCGTCCCTGTTGCTGCACCCAACTGCTGAACTCAGGTGAAGCAAAGCAGAATTTGTGTTTTACAAAATCTCCACTTGAGGAGATTTTGACACTGTCTGTGTCACACTTTCAAATACTGGATAAACCTCTTCAGCTTTAATGTCTGTCCCTGGGGACAGAAAGGTTTGAACAATAACTCTCCACCCCTGGTAGAGTTGTCTGTCACACGTTGCTGGTGCAGATGGATGGGCACAGAGCAGTGCTGGTCTGGGGCACCCGGCAGGCTGTGCCTCAGGGCAGAGGTTCATCTGAACAAGGAGGAGACAGTCTGAGCCTTCTCACTGTCCTGTGGCCAGTGATAAACACCCTGCATGTTTCTCTTGAATGGAACCAAGGTCAGGAGATCTGTTTTCTCCCTAAACTGAAAAAATGTTCTGAAGCCTGATGTGCAGAATGAGCTAATGCTTCATGGCACCTCTTTGTCCAGCAAACTGAAAGCAGCTGGAGCGAAGGTGCTCCTGGGATCCTGACTGGCTCTCATCCTTTGTGCTGCTGTGTGAGCTGAGATCTTGGTGTGGACCAGAACAAAACCCACACAGCTCGTGGCCACTTGCCCTCAGCTGAGAGAAAACAGCCCGAGGCAACTTAGGCAGAGTTGGCAGTGGGAAGGATGTGGAGCAGAGCTCCAGCTGCTTTGCTGCTGTTCCTGCTGCTTCCAGAGCCAGCCCAGCCCCTCTCTCCCATGGCAGACTGCAGTGGGACAGAGGATGAGGCTCCTTCCCTGCACTGGAGGGGCCGGGATGGGCACAGCTGGGTCAGCTCACATGGGGCTGGGCTGACTGCAGGTCCAATTACATCGGTGTCATTGGGGTAAACTGCCTTATCTCATTTAAAATGGAAGTAATGTCATTGACAACTGCAATCACATCCTTCTAATTGTCCCTTAGTTCTCAGAGATAGTATTTCTTTTTCAAATATAGCTTGCTGATGACCAGGGATTGGTGCTGATGACAACTGTTGCCATGCCAGTATTTAGTAAGCAAAATGAGACTGTAAGTACTCAGATTATTTCTGTCATATACTAATGGTGTGACTGATGTGAAGTTGCTTTCAGGGATCTAATAAGATTTTAGCCAACTCTTAAATTTTTTTATTCTTATTTTGTTTGCAGTTAGTATCCCTTTATTAGCATAAAAATATACACAAATAATCCCAAATACTGATACTCAAGAAACCATGGTAAAATGATGAAACCCTATGTCTAAGGGAAAATCTCAGATGACATTAGGCCCTGTGGCTTTCTTACTTCTGTATTACTTTTTTGTAGCAAATATTCTATATCATTTTCCTCTTTGCTCTGATATAATAAAAAATTTAATTAGTTTTATGTCTTATGTATGTGTCTATTTATCTTGAGTAATTCAACAAATTGTTAAAGAAACTTAAGTGTATTTTCCGCTTAATGCTTCCTCTTTTTCTTTTGTTTATCAAATGGTAGGAGAAATTGGGAAAGGAGTAACATATTTTTAATTTAAAACCTATTTGCACGTGAATGATTTGAGTAGAGGGACTCACCAGCTGTCAAAACCTTGCATGCCTTTTCTATGTGAATTGTAAATAAAGCAGAAAGGAGCAATATTATTGATTTAATTACTGCTTGATCAGCTGAATTGTACCACTGTCTGCCCTCCCCAGTTTTTAAATAATTTGTCTGTTATCTATTCAATTTCACAGTGTAGCTGTAAGGTGGAATAAGTGGTGAGGATGTTTATTTATTATTGTTGTTCTGAGTGCATCTTTTATTCTACTTTTCAGAGGTCTAAAGGGATTCTCCTGGGAGTAGTTGGCACAGATGTTCCAGTTAAAGAGCTTTTAAAAACTATTCCAAAATACAAGGTAATACACAAAATGGTGTATATGTTATTTATATTCAGTATAACACCTCAAATTTAACATAATTCATTTAATATATTGTTATTTTTTATACTTACATAGCTCCATTATTTCACTCATTTTCCTCAGGAATTTTACCTTTGTAGTGTCTGAGATCAAGTGCCATTTTTAAAACTTAAGTTAAAATATGGTCTGATTTTCACATTTTTGTTGATCAGAGGGTAATATTAAATACTGACCACATTTCGTGGTCTAGAGGGTAATATTAAATACTGTCCATATTAAAATCAATGTAATTGTAAAAATCAATGAAGTTATCATACTATGAAATATAGCCAGAATTCAAGTCAAAATAACCAAAAGAATCATGCTGAAAAATTTCATAACTTTTAATGGAAACCTATCCTTAACGTGGCTTTAGTTTTCCTGCTTGTGTGTAATCCTGTCCCAGTTCTGTGTCTCCTGGAATTAAAGAAAGTGGCACATTGCAGGAACTACAAGCTCCTGCTTAACCATACTAGTGCTTCCTTCTCTCCTGCCCAGTATTTGCTAAATATTTTCCTCCACTTAATTTTCCAGTGACAACTCTGCAGTAAAAGTCTTGAAATCAATTATCATAAAAATTTTGAAAATCTGAATGATGATATCTCTTGTGAAATGTGTTGCATATGGTAAAAGTAGGCTTCAGGCAAACACAAAATGTAATTACTTTTCATTTAAATTTGATGCACTACATTAGTATTTCACTAGTTCTCCATGTCTGAAATATTTTACTATAGTACTCTTCTATTCACAAATGAAAATTAAATTAATGTTTCCCAGTTAATTCCTAGTGGATTTTTTTCATGACTAACAAGCATTTAACACAGTATTGTAGACACTCTTTGCTAAAGAGCTCAGCCTTTGGAATATCTGCATTTTGACAGCACCTGTATTGAGCAGAAAGTTGTATATCATAGAAATTGTCTCTTAATTGTTTGCCATGTTCTCATTTAGTGATTGCTAAGAGGGTGGAGGAAGAAACTGACTTGTGAGTGCCTTCCAATATTCTCACATGAAAATTCCGCCTATCAATTTTAATTGTAATTTGAATACACTAGGATTTACTAAATGATTTCCTGGATCAATATACAGTAGCTGGGAAGTTTAAATTAAACAAGAATTTGATAAAAATTATGCATAAAAAAGAGTGTCAATAATATTGATAAGGTGGATTGGAGTAAATTCCTGTGACCTAGATCCCACAAGGAAAGGGGCTGTGCAAACCAGCACAGAAAGGCTGTGCCAGGTGAAAAATATTGCAGGTTATGGGAAGAGGCAGCACGTGACTCCACACTGATATTAGAGCACAGTGACAGTGACATTGCTGCTCAGAATAAATAACAGGGAACTCTCTCAGGGCACAGAGCACTAAAGTTTGCTAACAGCAATGTTAAAAAGATGTTACACTTCTGTGCATCCGGAAGTACTGAATCAGTAGAAGGTAGAGGAGAAGGGAGCACAATTTGCTCTTTTGCCAAATTTGGAGTAATGACACAATCTTTGGAGCTGCCTGTAGGGAGCTGTGGGGAGAGCAAGTTTCATTTGTAGTGAGAAGGAAGAACAATGTTGTGGTGCCTGAAGAAATAAAAGCTTGGCTGTGCATGGCTGGATAGGAAAAGCCAAGTAATAGTGATGTTATTCCTAAATAATCTGTGAGATTTGGACATAGTCTGAATATGAGAATCTAGAAAGAGTGGAAGGCCCAAATAATGGGTATTGGAACACAGTAAGACTGATTCAGAAAAGTTTTTTTAAGAATTAAGAATTTTCTGTGGAAGTAATATATGATCCTTTTGCTGAATATTAGATTTTTATTTGAAGGTATGTTTTATATTGCAGGATGTACTGCAGGAGAGGATTATTACAGGAGGCACCAATATCATGCAATGCAGTTGGGTTAGTGAGACCATTTGAGTTATAGCTTCCAGTCCCACATACCCTAAACAAATACCCTGCAATTGCTAGAGCAAAATCACCTCTGGGACCCATTCCTGCAGAGGCAACACATGACAAAAAATTCACACAGGGACATAAAATGATGGTTGAAAATAGAAGTCTGCTGGCCTGGAATTCTCTCAGCTTGAATGAGGTGGATTTTATGCTGAGGAAGATGAATAATAGCAATAAGCTGTTTTCAGCAGTTGTTACCTTGACTAAGCATCCCCAGATGTCAGTGGCAGTTTCTCCTGAGTAAAGTGGGGTTGGATTTGGTAATACTTGATGACCATGTGACATTTTATGACAGCTAAAAAAGGTTTCTTTGTTTCTGAATCTGTGATTTGGAGACAGAATTCAAGGTTTAAAATGGCAGTGCTGCTGTAAATTGTAGCATCACTCAGACACTGCAGTTTCACACATTGCACAGAACATGATAAAATGCCACCCTCAGATCCTGTGTAGGCCTCAAACAGGCAAATGTTTTTTTCCTGTGAAAAATACCACCCACATTTGTTTCCTTACCTGACTTCCATTGCCTGGATGTCATTCTGCAGTTATCAACACAGACAATTGCACTCGAGATCTGATATTTAGCCAACAGCTCATTCCCTTGTCACACTATAATAGTTAAAATATGTCCACTGTTATTATTTTGGTTATCCCTCCTTTATGAAGAGATGCCAAGAACGTATCACCTTCTGTTGCTCTCACTGAAGTTTATTGCTATAGGAAAACCACTAATTTATGAAACAATCTTCTGTGTGGCAGATACAGTTGACCATATACAACCATTCACACAGAGACACTATAAATTAACCTGGAATGTTTTACCTGTGACCTTGCCATAATATCGTAGTCTGGTTTCTATTTCCAGAAAATCACAGAATCTGATAAACTTGATCTCCCTTTTGCCTCTTAGAAAGTATTCTGACTTTTCAGCCTTGCTCAAGTTGTTTTGTGTCAGTCAAATTCCTAAAGACCCACTTCAGCAAAGCATTTAAGAATGCATTCAAGTTAGATAACAAGATTTAGTAGTGAGAATTGTAAAACAAATATCAAAGTAAGATAGTGCTGGACTTTCAAGTTCCATTTTTAAATTTTTTTTTATTTTGGTATTTAATACCTCAGTGTAATGGAGATGCTTACACGAAAATACACAGAATATTATATTGCCTGAAGAATTTTAAAAAATGGGCAAAGAAGGATAGGAAGACTCTCTCTGTATGTCACAAGATATATAGTGAACCTGTAGAAAAAGTGTACATTAGCAGCAGGTTTATGCTAAGAAGGGATTTTTGAACGACCACTTGAAGGATTTAAAGGCACATTTGTTGCATTCAGTGGATGTAATCAGCTGTGTAATAAGCATTTTATTAAATAGACCTGTATTTTTATTTAAATAAGTACAATGCTAAATTTGGGCACTGTTAGGCCTCATCAAGCATCTCACTGCTCTCAGGGAATCTGCCACAGTTCCACTCAGTACAAAGATGAAAACTTAGAGGAGACTCTTTAGCAGAAATACCTGCCTTCTGTGGCTCCAGCTGAACTGGAATTAGCAGAGAGCCTTTCAGATGGGAAGATGCAAATATCATATATGACAGGTCACTGTTCTCACTGTAGCTGTGCTTTCCTTATCTTTGAGTTAAGTGCTTCTTTGACAACAAGTGAGGAAAGCTGTGCACTCCTGGGAATGGGGAATTTATAAAATCCCAGTATCTCTTAGCCTTGGCCCATGTTCTGAATGCCACAAGCTATGGCATCTCATATATAGCTATATTATATATGTAAATATGTAATAATTAATTGACTCTATCACACATAGGAACAAGTGCCCTGGGTAGCAGAGTTGTGGGACAGTGTAAAATCGTGCTCTGTGCTGAATTCATCACTTGACAGGTTCTCATTTGCAAAAAATATCACAGATCTTTGCCTGTTTTAAAGCAAATCACTGTGTGGATAAGGGTTGTGAATGCCAGGAGCCCTGGATAGCCAAATTATTGCCTGCTATTTTTGTTTAAGGGTTTACTGGAGACCATGCTAATCAGTATTTCTTTCTCATTTACTTTAACAGTTAGGAATTCATGGATATGCTTTTGCAATTACAAACAATGGATATATTTTGACTCACCCAGAACTCAGGCCTTTGGTAAGAATGCTATTTATTGATCTGTTTTATTTAGCTGTATGTATTGCATTTGTTTTTTTTCCTGGTGTGAATAGCCTTCATTAAAAATTTAATACAATGGAGCTGATAATTTATATTGTATATATATGTATATATAACTCATCATAGTTCTTGGTAAATTTACCTCTGGAAACAACATGAAAAAATCTCTAGGAAAATACATATACAACTTGCTTCTGCAAAAGATGCAGACCTCCATTACTGCAAAATAGCAAAGCCAAAAATTGCTATAATTATGTTCATTTTACATTGAAATGGAATGTTGGAATGCTCTAGTGCTGTGTAATAACCCCTATTTTTCATGCTAAAGTGTTAAAGTTAATTTAATATATGTGCAGAAATTTCAATAAAGCATATTTTTTAAGCAAAATAGGAGCACTAGGGATTTTCTGTACTAAAAGAGAAATAGCAGCAATTTTTACCTTTAGTTTCCCCTTATCATCTTGTTTGCACTAATCACAGCAAGAAAAATAAAGTGATTGTTTTGCAAATGTTTATCAAGTTAACACCCCAGAGGGCTGGTGCATTCCTGGTTGCATCATTGTTTAGGAACAGCCCTGCCAAGTGTTCCATCACCACTGGCTCCTAGCAAAGCACTGGCATTAATGGTTCCACTGCTGTGGCCACATGGCTGCCACATGTGTTTCTCATGCAGGAACTCCAAGTAATGTCCAATTTCAACAGTGTTTCAGTAGAAAACAGAAATCTTAACTGGTTGGATAATTTAATTTGAAAATAAAATTATTGACAAGCATGAGTTATTAAGTCATTAGCATATCTGAAGTCTTCACCAAGCAAAAGAATTTTTCTTTCTAAGATATGGGCCAGGAATTGCACACTAAATTAACATTTATATTTGCACTTAGTTTGGGTTTTAACTGGAGTGGAACTTAGTAAAGTGCAACAAGGATGCTTCAATGGGTAAATCTGACATCCCAGGTTTGCAAGCCACAGGAATGTATTTAAATGAAAATTTTCTCTCTACATCACAAGATAACTTTTCTTTGCTGTAGTGTCCCTTTCTCTTTGGGCAAATTACTTATTTCAAAATGATTAGTATTTATTCAGTATATAATAGATATTTTATAAAACAGAAAGTAATAAGGTCCAAGACCTGTGGATAGCTCTAAGTTAGGCTGACAGTCTTACCCGCTCCCTAATTTTTGGTGTTTTGCTTTAGTGAGGCAGGTTATTTGCTGTTACTATCCCTCACCAAATGTACATCTTGAAGGCACTTACTTCATTACCTTATACAATGGAATCTCTTTTTGAAATCAAAATGTTGGTCAGTAGCCCATAAGCTGTCAGCTAAGGGAACTCATTGTGATATACTCATGGTGTGTGCCTTTCAGGATTTTGGAAGAGTCATTTTTACCTCTGGGTTCTGTCAGTGGTGGGTAATGAGAGTCTTCTGTTGACTTCAGTGGAGTTTTTGAGAGTGAAGTGATTGCTGGCCTGGGTCTTTGGTTTAATATTGCAAGCCAAATCCTGATACCATTGTAATATTCCATGGAATTTGTGACAATAATTATGTGAAAATAGGCCGTAGATCTGGAATTAGATAATTCACTAAAGATTCTCTCTAAAATTATTTCTGCCTTAGATTTACATTCATGTCTCATTGATTACTGATTTGTTCCACTCTGGTTTATCCTGTTGTAATATTTCATGTAAAACTAGAATATTACTGAATTCCTGAGTTCCTAACCCCATATCTGTAGTTCTGGAGCTGATGAGCTGCTTTTTAAGGAATTGTCTTCTGGGACACAGAGCAGAGGCAGGCTAGC